AGGTTCATCGCGTCAAAGGTAAAGTGGCAAACGGCAATTTGAATCCCGGGGCGAACACCTGGCCCAATCAAGTGCTGGTATTTCATCCCGAGCCAATCAAATGGCGCCAAAAAAAGAAAGGCAGCAAAATCGAAAGTCCGATCTTCCATTTTCGTGGCATCCAACAGCAGCACCGAAAAACAAAGGTGCACGCTACGAGGGCGAAACATGTACAGCGAGGTCTCAAGGAGGCGGTTGAATGCATCCCCATAAAGAGGGTGTGGTGTCTTGCATGTGGCGCGCTGCGTGCTCTGTCACTGCTTTTGCAGTGGGCTATGTTGCAGGATCTTGCCTTGTAATGTTAAACCGTGAATCAAGCTTCGCATTCACGTTACGCCCCTGATTGTACTTTGCAGTCGAAACGCGAGACTCGATGAACGCGCTCCCACGAGCTCGAGAACGACGATGCAGTCGTCTGCGAGCTCGTTGGTAGTTGACCTTGCGCCCACCAAAATGAGCGATGGGAATCGCATAACAGTGAATCTCGCACGCTGCACAAGCGGAGTAAAGGATGTCGTTGACGCGTCGAACGTACGGTGGCTCGCTGCTGTCATAATTTGCCCCTACCTGATGTGTCGTGGAGCCACACCAACCCCTGCACCAACCCTGCACCAACCCTTGTGCACGAAAAATGAAAAGTTGGTTTCAATTGCATCCGAGAAAACGGTGCGGGTGAAAGGCAACCCGAGTTTGTCGCTGCTCAGGCGATAAAAGCCTCGGAGCGCACAGCTTGCTCGCGAAAGTACAGTGTTCACACTTGGAACGATGAGATTACGAACTGCCAGCTGACCCAGATATGGTTCTAGACCTTTAGGAAAAGTGTTTTCTGTTTTGTACTTGGAATCCTGGATAATGTACTCTTCCTTTCCACTCTCGTGCCTCGCATCCCTCTCAGCAAACTGCAAGGAACTACGCGCGTTCCGTCGAAGCACCATGCGTAAGACCAGCGTAGGCTCGCAGCACTTGCTTGCAACGCGAAGTATGAAGAGCTCGCACCCACCTTGCCACGCCGCGGAGATAACGATCGTTACCCGCACCCACTGAGGAGCCTTTTACGAGAACATTCAAGTGATGAGGTTGAGTTGACACCAACAGGCCCATTTCCTACAGGGAGAAAACATGTGCGACGAGCCGAAATGGTCTCGATGGAGCCACAAAAAGCGTTTATAGACGAGCTACGAGTTCTTTTTGATAAGGGGTTGTCATTTCAAAAGTCAGGACTTGTGGAGGCAGGTCATCTGTCTTGTCAACCTCATTGGCGCCAGCAAGCACATTGGAGTTGCTCACTATCCTCATCGGGTCGCGAAGGATCATCGAGGAGGATGCGGGTAGCCGGTATGCTATTGCATCCTCAACGTCGACCCGGGCTCCGAGGTACCACCAAAGCACTCCCCACTTGACAACGACCGACGCGCACATCAGCGCCAATTCCTGCTGGCAAGATCGAAGCTACGTTCATAGATCCGGCAAGCCGCGCTGGCTTCGCAGCACCGGCTCAGTCTCTCAGTCTCCAGCCTCGCGTCAGGCCTCGCGTGGGGCAATCGTGTGACAGCACCCTCTGGTGACAATGTACACTGTTGTCTACCGTTGTGTATTACCGGTATGGAAGCGACCACCTTGTGCGAGTGGTGGCGATCCTAGCGCCAAGTGCAAACTGGTTTAAACGTGTCCGAAACTTCAACCAGCGGCGCCGACGATGGGCAGTAATTCCAGCACAAGATGCCGCAAACGCCACAAGACCACCGGAGCTCTCGGCGCAACCAACCACAGCGTCCTCGCGTGTCGCAATGTGGCCGACGTGTAGTGGGACAGCCAACTCCGGGCGCAGCTCCGGCCAAGACTCCGCGTCCGTTTATTAAGCTCCGCGTTGAATATGCATATTCGTCCAGCATGGGCCGTAAAACGCGTCGGAAAACACCTTGGTTTCTGTATTCGCATCAGTGGCTTCAAGTTAAACATCCCATACCCTTGCATAAACCTACTCATTTTCATCGCCGAGGTTGGCGGCCACGAAGCTCGTGTCGGTTTCAGGTCAAATACAATACACTGCGGTATACAAATATAATTAATGGCCTTGCATAATTCTTTTGTTTCGTCTTCATGTATACAAATACGCAATAAAAAGATACGGTTGTGTTTAAAAAGACAATGCCCATGCAATAAAAAGATGCACGAGGTATTTTATTTGACCGTGTCATGCGTGCGTGTTGATGCAAAATAAGTGGATGATGTTCGACAAAATAGGGTTTTCATTTTAAATAGCGTGTCATTTAATGACGCTAGCTGCATGTATTTTTTACGATCCCAGCGATGGCATAGACAGATCCAGTTGTACAAAGCAGTGTTGTAAAAAATACAGGTCGATGCATTTAAATACGTCATAGGAAATGATTTTAATCCGTTCTGGCGGGTCAACCTGGCACTCGGCTCGTATCTCGCATTATTCGATTTGCCCGCTCTTGCGTTCATCAACCTACAACATGTCGAGCGGATATGAATGGGCCAACTCGGCGGAAGCCTTCCTTGCCGCGACGAGCGGCCGCCGCGGTTACTCTGCCATGAGCTTTTACCCGCCGATGCAGCAGCAGCAGCCGATCCAGTGCATGCCGCAGGCGATGACGCCGACCTCGATCGACTCGTACGACATGGAGATCGTCGTCGCGGACGCCAATGGCCCCATGGTGCAGCTCGTGGCCAAGCGCAAGCTCGGCGACGACAACGAGGACATGCTCTTCAAGCGCCAGCGCCTCCAGTGGTAGACGAGCCGCCGCATCCCGCTTGCCCTCGGTGCGCATCCAGGATCCATCGGTCATGCTCCTCGACACTCTTGCGATACGAACTATTTATGCATAACATGTACTCTAAAGGAAGCACGCTTTGGATCTTCACACTTGATGCCCAACCTTGGATGCGATTGCGAGACCGGACAGATTGCGCGCTTGATATATGCGGTGACATGCTGGTTCTATCGGGTAGCAAACTCGCTGGGCAT